AATGAGTCTGGGATAACGTTGGAGATACGAATTCGGGGCTTGTTACTACGCTCTAGTTCCATCGTGGATCGTCCAGTGGGATTTTTTTTAAGAAATAAATTCTGCAATCACTAGGTACACCCATGGTCTCACACAAATGTTACGAAGGGAGGAGAATACAAAGTCTCTAAATTCATTTCTCTTATGATGATTTGGTTTGGTTTTTGGTTTTTCTTTTTTCTGTCTCTTTGTATATCTCTTACTAGCTGAAGATCGTTTTTTTTTCTTGATCTAGGACACATTTGGATTGTTTATAAAAAACGGTGGTTACGTTAACATCTCTTGAGATCAATTTTCAATCACTCTTTCACTTGAATACAGCTCACTTTTGTTTCTTCCATTTTCTTCTAACCAGTTTCCCAGATCTTATTGAAGAGCCGAATCCTATTGATAGTCCTTTTCGAAAACCTTAATATTCAGAGGATAGGATGATAGAAATGGGTGAACAGTTGTATAAAATCGATTTCAATTGGCAATACTCACTTGGTTTTTGGTGATTTTTCTCAGATACGTCTACTGAGAAACTTTGATGAAATCTAGGAAGTCCTTAACCTGAACTCGAGGAAATCTGATCAGCAGGATCAGTAAGCAATAAATGGTTGTTTCCAATCTAGATGAAGACTAAGTTTAGCAAAAGGTTTATGATCAGTTTCTCTATCAGAAAGACACACTCTATATACAAATCAAGGAAGTAATTACGTTGAAGGTTCCAATTAAGCTTTCTGAAGAATTGAACGAAAAAGGAAATGAGTCGACTGTTTGATTCAGATCTAGATAAAGAACCATCTTGGCACATTCTGGATGGGAATCAATGAAGTTCATACCTTGATGGGTTTGATGAAAGTTCCAGATACATAATTTAACAAGTCGGGAATCAGTCGAATGAATGTTTCGAATCTAGATGAAGAGTAAGTTTAGCAAAAAGTCTTAGAGCAGTTTTCATATAAGAAAGGAACACTCTGGATACGAATCGAGGAAGTACTTACCTTTAGAGACTTGATTACAGAAGTACGGGGTGATGGAGTTAAGTATAGATCCTATCATTTGTAATCAGGCGAGAACAGTCACATAAGTACAAATGGAGGGAAGACATACCTTGTAGTTTCTGATGAGTTTGGTTCGAATACTTGCTTCAATAAGCCAATACGTATGTTGTTCTTCAACTCAAACAATCAACGTGTTTGCAGAGACACCAAATCGGCTTGTTTCTTCATTCAAGTATGGAAGTTGGGATGATTAGGGTTAGATGCTCACCTTTTGAGACCCCGTTTCGAAGAATTGTATTTTCTATGAGGATTTATTTTCAGGAAAAAAAAGAAAGATGTTAGTCTGATGTCTCTCTTGAACAAACATGATGATATCCAGATAGCTGTCCCATACAATGGAAGAAGTGTGCTACCAAGACTTCAACTAGGTCTCCCACATTAGGAATGTTAAGTCAGATATCTCGGAGGACACTCTTCTTCCATCGCATTTGACAACAGCTGAACGAGTAGCATCAAAAGTGTGGATTTAATTGGAAACTTACACTATTATGACTATCAAAGAAAAGGTAATCAAGCAATCCCAGATTCAATGGAGGAGAATGAGATTGTTAGAGATTGATAATTAAGGGTAGGTTTCGGTAAGCAGAGGGGATGTTGGGACCAAAGGAGACAAAAACTTAGTCAATCAGTAGAACATGAATCAATTTGAAATGATCCAATTGGTAAAATCTACAAATCAGCTCAGCTCCTTGCGCGTCCGCGTCGCGTCTAACTTAACTTATAAGTCTTTTGGCTGAGTTCAACATGACAAGTGAATCAGTGATGCGCGAGGCACGAGGCGTCGCGTCCATATCCGTCCTTGGGCGCATACAGATCTTGTGAGGTAGGTTAGTTAAGCTACCTCACAAGATCTTTACTTATCTTGACACATGATATGAATCGAGTAGTTGTTTCTACCACTACCTCTCTTGGCTCAGTCAAATTGAGATTCTCCTGGAGTCGAGGTATTCTTATTCTTGAGGTACATTCAGTCTGAACAAAAAGATGGAATAAAATAGAGAATCTTGAAGCTGACTGACAAACTACAGGAGACATTGATTGTAAATCAAGAGGACATTGAACAAGCAATAAGGCGTGGTAGGATACCGTCAAAATCCAGATGCCGAGATATTTTGGAGGTACAAATCATTCTGAACCGAAAAGATGAATTGAAAATTCGACAAGGTGATGTGTACAACTACGTGTGACTGACTAGGGATGAGATTTCTGATCGAAAGGGACAACGTGTCAACAAGTTGAACGGATATGATCCACTCGAGCTTCAAAATTTAATAAAGGTGCCATGGTAATCCACCAAATGAGAAACATAGTTTTTGTTCGAATTTTGCAGATGTAGAACCGGAGCTGAGACTCTTTGAAGATCACAACTTAGTCAAAGAGTGGATAGCAATACGTAAACATTAGCACTCTGATATACAAACCTCTTGGGACATGTACTGTAGATTTGATTCAAACTAATACTCACATAATCTAGGTGGCCGTATCAGAACTCACATCAGAGAGGCACACCCCAATAGAGCATCACGTTGGTCTCTTCATTAAATCCTCCATGTTATGAAAGAACGGTCGGACAAGTAAGTTGAATAGTTGTGATAGAGTGTCATGTTCGGTTTCTGGGCACAAACGAAGTCCAGGATGGAAGCAGTAAGACATCTAAAGCTCCCCTTGCT